ATGTGTGTGTGTGTGTGTATGTGTGTATATATTTAAATCTTAAATAGGAATTATATTAACTTAAACATATATAATAATGTATAATATATAGTAATATATAGACATTATAATATGAATTTATTATTATTAAAACCAGATATGTTAATTAAACCACTTTTTGTAATTAAGTTTAGCTGGGGTTTTCAAACTGATGCAAGTTTTGGCACATAAAATTAGAGGAAAAATATTTATTTTAACAATTAGTTAAAATAAAACTATATATATACATTCACACATACATTATTTTAATATAATGACTAATATATAATCTTATCGTTTAAATATTAAAAATTGTATTTATACAATATATATATACAATTTACAATATATAAGTATTATAATAATTTCAAATTTTGTGTTATGACAAATAAAAGATAATCTTTTAATTTTGTAAACAAAATACTGTGTTTATTATATGATGCTTGCCGGTTTTCGTGCAGAGGGTTGCATCTTCCAACCAGCGGAGGGCTTCCTCTGCGAGCCGAAAGCCCAGCCTCCAGCTGTTGGACACTCCAGATGGTCTTCGGGATCTGGGAACGCTGGAGTTGTTGAGCCGAGAGCTGGATCCGAGCGGAGGCACCCTGAACCGCTCCATGTCCTCTGAATCGCTGTGTTCCATCTCTTCCGTGGCTCAAACCTTCGGGCACGACTTCACGGTGGGACAGCTGGAGGTGACGCTGGAGCTGGACACTCGAGCTTCGCTTCTGCTCGTCTCACTGCACCAGGGTAAAGACCTGCTGGAGAAGGAAGAGGAGAGCTTCCTGGGCTGCTACATCACCGTCACACTGGTTCCTCAGCAGATCAGCCTGGGGGCCACGCAGGTATTAAACCATAGGACTAATGTCTTGTTGTGAAAAATATAGATTTCCCTTGCCCCTTTGATATTAAGGTTTAATGGATGAATTTAATGAATTTACAGATGAAAATGATACATATTGATGTCACATCCATGAACACAATATTTAAAAGTCTCTATGTAGTGTTCAGCAACTATATCGGTGTTGTTTTATTTATATACAATTACAGTACAATTAGCTTTTATTTTCATATGTTCAGTTTTAATCTTAATATTGATGTCAAAACCATGAATACATTAATATATCAAAGTCTATTCAGTGTTTAGCAACAATATCAGTGTTGTTTTATTTTATTCCTATACTATTATAGTGCTTATTAATATTTTGAATTTGCTTTTATTTTTTATATTTTCCGTTTTAATCTTAATTAGTTTTAGTATTTTTATGTACGTTTGTTGTTTTGGTTTGATTATTTTTGTATATTTTTATGTATTTTTATTTTTATTTAGGCTTAGTAATTTTAGTACTTCAACATCAACTTATTTGCTTTCAGTTACTTACCAAGGCAATATTTCTAATTTTAATGTAAGGTTTTTAAATTTAAGTTTTTTTAAGTTTAAGTTTTCATCTAATATTTATATTTTATTTTATTTCTACTTTATTTAAATTAACAAAAATGATTTTTAATGGTTTTAGTTTTAGTTAACAATAACAATACTGTCTTATATGAATAGAGGTCAGCCAATCAGAACAGAGTTCATATAAATACATAATTTTTTTTAATTTACAAAAATGTTCAGTTTAATTCTAAGGATCTTTAAAAGGGTGTAACATAAATTAAAATTTAATTAAATGGCCATATAAACACATCCTTTCTTCTTTGATCCCTAGCTGGCGCTTGGTTCGGATCGTTTCCTCAGACCGTACGATGCTGTGGGTGCTAATGGTTGCCGGATTTCATTTACAAGATGTTTCCATCCCTGGGGGTTCATGGCCATGGACCTGGCCTCATCGAGGTTGATTACTATCATCAGTAATAGTGAAACATCTCTGTCTGTCATTGTCTTCTGCAGGTCCAGAGAAATGCCTTCACCGTGGTGTTTGACGAGCGCTTCTCTATTCCATTGGATTCAGTAAATCTGGAGGAGAGCAGTCTGCGATTTTCCACCTTTGGTGTGGATTCAGATGAACGGAACATCAGTGCTGGAGTGGCAGAACTCAAACTGTCGGATCTGGACCTGACGTTCCGGCCGTTTAACGCCTGGCTCTACCTGCAGGACATCAACAAGGTACGTCACACCTGAACGCTCCATTCTGAGAAACAATGTAAAAGTCAATAAAAAGTGTGTTCTCTTCTACAGTGTCCTCACTATATGTAGCAATAGGAAGTCCAGTTCTTGATGAATCATTTTGTTCAGTTCACAGAAGCTGTTCAAAAAATGGATTCACTTATTTTGATGAAACTGGTTTTATGTTTCTCCTCAGGCTGTGGATGCTGTCGGCGAGATCCTGTTGTCTCTCAGTTATTTGCCGACTGCAGAACGTCTCACCGTGGTCATTGCCAAAGCCAAGAACCTGGTCTGGACTAACGGAAAGACCACAGCAGGTGTGAAGCTGAGCTAGATGCTCCTGAAACAATATTTGTATCCACTGATTATCGGTTCGAGTTAGTATTAGGGATAAAACTATTGGAATTGGAAGGTTGTTCCAGAAATAGAATCCAGGAACATCTCCTACTTTGGAAAATATAATGTGCGAAAACCATATACTGAATTTTGTCTGTTTCCGTGTGAACAGATCCGTTTGTGAAGGTGTACCTGCTCCAGGACGGCAGGAAGATCAGTAAAAAGAAGACATCCGTAAAAAGAGATGATACTAATCCAATCTTCAATGAGGCTATGATCTTCTCAGTGCCAGCCATCGTCCTGCAGGTGACAACACTCTATCTATCTATCTATCTATCTATCTATCTATCTATCTATCTGTCTATCTATCTGTCTGTCTGTCTATCTATCTATCTATCTATCTATCTGTCTATCTGTCTGTCTGTCTGTCTATCTATCTACTGTCTGTATGTCTATCTATCTACTGTCTGTGTCTGTCTGTCTATCTGTCTATCTATCTATCTATCTATCTGTCTGTCTGTCTGTCTGTCTGTCTGTCTATATGTCTGTCTGTCTGTCTGTCTGTCTGTCTACTATCTATCTATCTACTGTCTATCTATCTATCTATCTATATGTCTGTCTGTCTGTCTGTCTCTATCTGTCTGTCTGTCTGTCTCTATCTATCTATCTGTCTGTCTGTCTCTATCTATCTATCTGTCTGTCTGTCTCTATCTATCTATCTGTCTGTCTGTCTCTATCTATCTATCTGTCTGTCTGTCTCTATCTATCTATCTGTCTGTCTGTCTCTATCTATCTATCTGTCTGTCTGTCTCTATCTATCTATCTGTCTGTCTGTCTCTATCTATCTATCTGTCTGTCTGTCTCTATCTATCTATCTGTCTGTCTGTCTCTATCTATCTATCTGTCTGTCTGTCTCTATCTATCTATCTGTCTGTCTGTCTCTATCTATCTATCTGTCTGTCTGTCTCTATCTATCTATCTGTCTGTCTGTCTCTATCTATCTATCTGTCTGTCTGTCTCTATCTATCTATCTATCTATCTATCTATCTATATATCTGTCTGTCTGTCTGTCTATCTATCTATCTTCAGTGTTTGTAAGGTTTATTGGTGTTTTTCAGGATCTCTCTCTGAGAGTGACTGTTGCTGAGACCACAGAAGACAGCCGTGGTGAAAACGTGGGTCATGTGATCATCGGACCAGAGGCCAGTGGAATGGGAATAACTCACTGGAACCAGATGCTGGCGACTCTGCGGAAACCGGTTTCGATGTGGCACCTGCTCCGGAGGACATAAGTCCTTGAGTCCTGACCCCTGACCTCTGACTCCTGTCTGCATGGTGCCTACTGTCTAACTGTCCTAACAGTAAAGACATTGAATATGAAGAGAAAATCTTTGTGTCTCAGCTGCCCTGAGGATGGATGGAACTTTAATGAGAGAAAGAGAGAGGGAAATCGGCGGCTCAGGATGTCTCATCTGTAAGGGCCTTTGAAATCCAGCTTTTCTTATCCAGGTTAACTTCATTTCTACATATGATAACAGGGTGGCTGGTTGTGTGCTGCAGCCTTTGGGTGGAGTGTAAAGTGTGACAGAAATTGTAGCCACATTCTGTCGTACTAAAAAGTCAAGCATAAAAAAGGAAAAACAAATGATTTTTTTTGGCCATAAATGATTGTTATTGTTATTATTATTATTGGAAGTTTGAATAATCTTCTTTTTGTTCTTATTTTTCTCTGCTTAAACACATTAAAATAAGATGTATAAGGTTTAACAACAACCTTGGGACTTTCTGTCCTTTTTCTCAGGCAAGTGCCATGACACTTATTAGCCTAATAGTGGCGCCATTGAGCCACATCACTTATTTTAACATATTTGTGTAAATTTAATCAAAGTACCACATGTATTTATTTATTTATTTTGGCTAATGCATTTTACCACTAGGGGGCGTGCAAGTACTTTATAAAATCAATGTTGGGGAAGTTGCTAAAAACAGTAGTCTTTTAATAATTACCTCTTATGTTTTGTATAGCAATGTGATTGCTAGTTACTCTGAACAGTAATAACATTACGCATTAATTAATTCAATCATTCATTTCTAAAATCCAGACTTAAACAGATTAATTTTATGTGGCCAATTTGTCAAGTTTAGATTGCAGTTCAGCACGTTATTTATTTATATATTTATTTAGCCAGGGCATAAATTTGAATTACTTTGGATTTATAACATGCATATTACAGTACAATGTATTTCTCATTTCACAAGAGAACCACTCTTTGCTGCCATTCAGCATGTCAAAATGAAAGAAAGAGCTTTTTGATCAATAGTATATTTGTTGTTGGACCTTAAATATAGTTGTTAAATTAGCCTTAGTACATTAAAATCATACATGTATCATATAAGTAACTTCAAAACAGTAGCTGTTACTGGATTACTGAAAAATAAAGAGTAATCCCTTGCTTTATTTCATCACAGGAACATGCACTTTGTAGTTTTGTACTTTGTAATGCATTACCCCAACACTGCATAAAATTCACGCATTCATATCAAACTGGAATATGTATAAATTAATATATATTTCCTTTCACAGTTTTCTTCGGCACGAAAGAAAATCTAAAAATGTTTGAACTGCCACAATAATGAAATATTTTGATGACAGAATGTAAAAACGTAATACCAAAATATGTGAATCACATCCTAAACACCTAAAATGTTTTGTAGAATGAATATCAGATTTGAGCTTCTTGCAGTCATTTGATTTGATGAAGTGCTGCAAATGCTGTGATTTGTTTTTACTACTAACAATATTTTAAGCTTGTCACCATTAAACTTCATTCTGTGCCAAATTCACCCTAATAGAAGCAATATTCTCATTTGCCGTGTACATCTAATGTTGGTGAACTTTAAAAGATTTAAAGAATGATAAAACGTAGCTTTACAATGCATGCACATGTAATGTATGACATATTGCAATCAAATAAATTGTTTAAATAAAAATGCTTTATGTGGTTTGTTTCATATGAAGTCAATTGTTGTTTTCGTGTGTGAGATGTGAGAGAAAAGTAAATTAGTGATTTCAAATATGAAATTTAATCGTAAGCTTGGCGAACAGTTTTGGAGATTTTGATGTTTCCCATCATAAATATAACAGTGGTCAGCACAATCTATCTAATCTATGGCTTTAATATAAAAAAATATATAGAATTTTATAGAATTATGCAATAAGAAATGAAACCCATTTATAACTATGTGAATTTCTTTTTATTAAAGTATTTGACAAAACATTCAGGCAATGTTTTTGGTGAAATCTTACAAATTACACTGTAATTTCAGTTTGAAAATACCTCAACTTTTTATAAATGGTGTTAATATTTTGGATGCTAAATGTACTAATCATCTTTTGAGAAACTTTCTCATTACTAGCAACCATTTTGTTATTAAAGCTAAGGCAAAATGGTCAGCATTTTACCCAAACATTACTTTTTTACCGTATGGACTGTGCCAAATAATTTTTTGTTTAATAATAAAGTAAAATAAATTCATTTTAAAATCATCATTATTATCCTTGTAATAAGTATATAAATCCATTTAACCATAATATTTCTCCACTCTGCTCTTTCTGCCAAGAGGAAGAAGAATCAATTTCACATTTATTATATTTCTGTTATTACTCTAAACAATTCTGGCTTCAAATATCAGCTTCCCTATTTCTTGTGTCCCACCAGCTATATTTCCATTAGTATGGTTCTTTTCCATTCTGATATTTCTGACAATAAGGAGTTAGACGATGTCTTAAACTTGATTTGTATGATGGGTAAATACCATATCCACAAAGCTAGATACCTTAAATTTAAACCCAGCTGCAAAATATTTGCTTCTGATCTACATTTCTTATTATCAACACTTCAAAAATTCTCTTCTAATAAAAAGCTCTGAAGACATCTCGTATTATAGAATGGGTTTAAAGTAAATTGTAATTTATTAATTTTTTCCCTCTCCTGTATTCCCCCATATGTTCTATGTTCTGTATTATTTGTTTCTTTTGTATTTAATTATATTTATGCAATTAAAAAATGCAGAAAGAAATGAAAGAAAATCAATGCACAATTATATATATATATATATAAAATTGTCACTTAATGTTAAAGGTGGATAGCTGGCCAATCACAGCACACCTCGCTTTTTCAGACCGATGAGTTTTGTAAAAATCGACGCGTTTCAAAAAGGCGGGGCATAGAGGAGAAACAATAATGTACAGTATGTGGAAAATAATGTGTTTTTTTTACTTTAAACCGCATAAACACATTTCATTACACCAAATACACAAAATAATGTTCTTTTTAGCAGCATCATATGACCCCTTTAATACCGTCTCTCATCACACAATACTGGTTGATAGATCTGCAGGGAATCATCTGTCTACGAGTCATCAGTCCCGTAAAAGGGCGAGGCACACAGCGGTTGAAGTTTATTCCCATCAATTAATGGAAATTAATAGAAATTATGCTTCTATCAAAATAACGTTAAAGGAAACGTGTGAATAGCAATACTGCAATCTCACACCTTCTTATCATTTTTACCAAACAAACAAATCTGTCAATGAGGTAACGATGACATTCCCAACAATTGTGACTGGTCCATCGAGTACAGCGCTGAGAAAAGTAACATGCATCACGTGAACAGCAGCGATCTGGTGAATACTTTACATCTGAATATTAACAGAACAAAATACACACTGCTGAGTTAAAAGCATAGACTGTATAAAAAAAACAATTATTATGTAAAGCCATCGTGCTTGACCAATAAGAGACAACGGGTCACATATCCCCGCACATTTAGGTTTCTTTTATTCTAGTTCTACAAAGTGTTGCCAAGTCCGCTGTTTTCCCGCGGAATTGGGCTCCTTTAACACTGTTGCCGCGGGTTGAAGCGACCCCAATAACGTGATATTTAGCCCCTGGAATGCGAATTTTACCAGGGGAACCCTGCAAAAAAACGTGTATTTTACCCTCCAGAGGCCGGAACTCGATTGGACTAGTTTTGGGCTAATTTTGAGTCGCAATTGGGCGGGTTTTGTTGTTGTAAACCTGGCAACCCTGTGTCAGTAGGTTGGTGAATACTGTGGCCAATAGATAACAGTTGGGTGGTGATCACGTAAAGGTTCAAGATCAAGTGCAAACAGCAGACTGTTACCAGCCTTAATAAATAACAACCCTTTAGGCAGAACCCGAACTCCGTGGTTTGGGTCCGCAGAAGTTTTGTATCGTGTTTAGTGTTTCATTGCAGAGCTGAATAATGGCAGACAGAGATAAGGCGACGGATCAGATGAAACTGTGGAAGGACGGTCGCGGCTCTCAGGTCTGCTGCAGAATTTATAAATGGGATATTATATTCTGTTAAATATGAGTTTGTGCGCTTTAAATCGTTTTAAACCGTTTATTTTAATGATTTATTGCGCAGTGAGAAATTGTGCCAAAGGTCGCAGGATTTGTAACGCACCAACACGAAAGTATTTGCTGATATCTTCGTGTTTTAATGTGCAAAACGTCTCTAAATAACACTAAAGTGTTGCGTTGCTTTAAAAAAATGACCTTTTCCCTGAAATTCAGATCTGAAAGTGATAACGTTAACAGTTACTTGTTATGACTGCAGTGACAAAATACTGCATAATCGCACTGCAAGTAAACATTTATCATATATTTGTGAAAGTTATTACTTGTTACGAATGAATGCGGTATATAGTGTCCAATATATTTATATATAATTGCACAAAACACTAGTCAGATGCTGGATTGCGTTGTGAAAACTGCATCCCCTACGGTCTTATTTATGTGCATGGTTGGTTGTTTTGAATCTGTAATGGTTCGCGAGTCAAAATGTACAGAATTAAGCACAAAAACAGATAAGGTTTATTACATAATTTCAGGTGAAATGTATTCGTAGTTGAAGTGGGTCCACGACATAGTTAAACGGCGGAAGACGGTCGAGCCCCCGCCCCGTCCCACTCCTCTCTAAAGTGATTGGTCAATAACATGATTGACACCTCGCTCAGCGAATCACATTTTTATAATGCCTGTTATGTTGTGAGAAGCCTTATAGGCCCCTCTCCCTTTATTTAGGACACGACAGATAACCTCAATTGCTTCTACTGCAGTTAAACTTTAACAAGATAAGTAGATAAATAACTATTATAGTTATTTAATCACTATTTTCAGGCCAAATGCCTATAGAATAATATTTGTTTTGCCAGTATAGTTGTATAAAATTTGTTTACATCAGTGTCACAACTTAAAGATGTCAAATTAGTTTTAAATCAATGCAAGTTTAATAAAAAAATGTAATTATAATGTTGAATATAATGCACTCGTGCAATATAAGAAATAGATTAAATATTTAAATTAAAATATTACTAGTATTATGACATGATTTCAAAGGATTTACTGTTGAATAATCATTTATTATGCTGAGTTCAGTGAATAAAATGATTTGGTTTGTTTATTTGTTATTTTAATTAGATTTTGTGTTGCTATTCTGTCTCATTTTGTTTTATTTTCCCAGCGGCCAGATGTCCTGACCACTGGAGCTGGAGTCCCGGTAGGGGACAAGTTAAACTCAATGACGGCGGGTCCGCGTGGGCCACTGCTGGTCCAGGATGTGGTTTT